CCATTGAAGTTTATATGGCTCAGGATGTTTGGACGTTGGCAACTTCAATTTGTCAACCAAGGTAGTCGACGCAACATTGGTGCAGCTCCCTCCATCAATGATGGTTGAACACACCTTCCCGTTAATGGTGCAACGGGTGTGAAAGATGTTCTCCCTTTGTCCATCATCCTTAGGAGAAATTATGGCGTGCAAAGCTCTCCGGATCACCAATAGTTCACCATCATCAGCAACCTCCATAACGTTCTCTTCAATTCCATCGGATTCAGCATCATCTTCAGCTTCTTGAAGTGATGAATTGATCTCATCAATTTCTTGAAGAGTCATAACTCGCCGATTTGGGCAATTAGCTTGGAAGTGTCCATAGCCTTGGCACTTGAAGCACTTTCTTTTGTCACCTTCAGTTCTGGCCGAGAACCCTTTAGTAGGTTCCGAAATTGCTTTCTCTCTGCCCTTGTTCTTTGTTGGTCCTTCCGGCTTGGTAGAAGAAGCACCCTTAAAGAAGGATGTTCCTTTTGGCGCAAATCTGGTTGTTGAGGCCTTGTTGCGCTTTTGTTGCTTTTCAACCTTCATGGCTAATTTGCAAACATCTTCAAAGGCCCAATAAGGTTGAAGTTCAACCAAATCAGCAATATCTTTGTTCAAGCCACCAAGGAACCGAGCAATGCTTTGTTCTGGCAATTCTGGAATATCACATCTCATCATGATTTGTTCAAATTCCCGGATGTATTCTTCAACGCTCAATCCTTCTTGTTTGAGAGTATTCATCTTGAGGAAAAGATCTTGACTATAATGATCGGGCAAAAATCTCTTCTTCATGAGTTTCTTGAGTTTTTCCCAAGAACGGATTTTGCTCTTGCCTTCCCTAACTCGCTGGTTCTTCACATTCTCCCACCATAGTGAAGCATACTTTGTTAACTTCAAGATAGCAACCTTGCACTTCTTCTCATCCGAGTAGGACTTGAATTCGAACATTCGCTCAATAGCGTGCATCCACTCAACAAATTCATCAGGATTAAGATTACCGGCAAATTCAGGAAGTTCAACTTTGATGTCACGGTCATCTCGTGTATGCCGTCCTCTTCTCCTCCGTGCTTGAGGTTCTGAAGCACTTGAATCTTCTTCATCGGATTCTGAATCTCCATGGGCACTTCGAGACTCGGACTCATCTCGGTGTTGACGGGCGAAAGGATTTCTTGCGGGTCGGTCTAGGCGCTCAAATAAGCGCTCCATCTGTCTTTGGAGACCCTCGATGGCACGATCTCTCCTTTCGTCGTGCGCTTGCTCCAAGGTCATGCCTCTTGGAACATCACCTTCCATGTTGCGAATTGATGTGTGAAACAGCAAAGGAATCACTCAAGATGAACTAACCTGTGCTTTGATACCAATTTGATGCGTGCGTGGGCGAGTGATTCCACAAAGCATCCAAACAGCAAATAAAGTAAAGATTCGATTAGGAACCAAGGCGTAAAGATTAGACCACCAACCAAGGATCTTCACTGAGAGGGATAGAACAATCTTCACCACGGTCTAAAGGCGCACCACCAACCACAGATTCGATTGAGTTTGAATAGGTTCACCACCGAGAGCATAAAGGCAACGCCACCAACTCAAGGATAAAGGACCTTCGGCTCACCACCAAAGAGAAACCACTTTCTTAGGATAAAGATGCCTAAAAATTTGAATCAACTCACTCAGAGGAATTCTTATTCATTCACCAACGCCTTACAATGTAGGCCGAACCCTTATTTAAAGAGAAACTAGGACTTAAGATAGGAAACAACAAATTAGGAAACAAACCTAAGAGGAAATCCCAGAATAGGAAATAACCCAAGATAAGACTTCAAAATAGGAAACAACCAAAAGGGAATCAACATAACTCTTAAAATAGGAATCTAAATAAAATCTTCAAAATAGGAAACTAGAATGAATCTTGTGCAATCTCGTTGTGCAATCTCGTACTTCAACCGTAGCCACCAAGTAAAATTACCAAAAGGTATCCAAAGTGCACGAGAACAGCTCCACTCGACCTCCCATTGATACAACTCCTATTGGGCTTCAATTCAATCACTTTCTTTGACCCAATGAAGTACATAGTACCCATTCTTCAAGCTGCATTCTCCAATTAATAAAGCTAGGCTTGAAGTTGAGTTCTCACCAGCTTGGGGGTTTTCTACATGTTGGGGGTTTTCGGATGCAACCGCATCAGAAGGACAAAGAAATAAATGACTTGAAACAACAAATGCAAATCGTTATGCGACACCTCAACCTCGATCACAATGAGGTTCCTCCTGTACCTCTCACCAATCCAATAGGTGATGGGCACAATGATCAGCGACACAATGATGCTGAGATTGATGATGATGATGATGATTTTCTCCGTCATTTCTAGTTAAAATTCCCAAAATCGGGGGTAAGCTTGCTTCACAATCTTTTATGTCATAAGTGCAGTTTGCCCAATATGTTCCTGCCCTACAATTACTTTTTGTGCACAACTTTCTTACAACTAGGTTCTTTGCTTGCGAAAAACTGAAAATTTAGAGATCCCAGGATGACATGCTTGTTACAAAAAATCATGATATTTGAACATTGTAGAAATACATGCCTTAATTGACTTTGAGTCCTCTCTTTCTGGGAATTGGTGTTGGTAATTCACCTCTCTAATACCTTACCAAAAAAAATTCACCTCTCTAAGTCATTAAACTGTTGAATGCTGTTTGGAGAAGGATCTAATTTTTCATAGGTGACAGAAATACGGTTTACAAGGGTGAAAAAACTATAGTGGATATCAAAGTTGACTCATATTCATATGTAAGAATATTGATGTTCGTCCTGAAATGTTTTTTTTGTTAACCCTCCTACTTGTTTTTTTATACCTAGTTCCACATTTCATCAAGTGTCGACAAAAGTGACTGCTTCTGGTGTCCTGCCGAGTACCAAAGTTGCCCAATCTTGTGTCTGGTTTGTCAATTTTTCGTTTTTGAAGCAGAATCTATGGTTGTCCCGCCTCCTTTGAATGTTTTGAATGTATTATAAGATTGGATATCAAATAGAATCATGTCAGACTTTGCAACTTTGCATATATCATTATTTTTTGCGGACTAGCATCTTTCCTTCAGTTATATTTTTCAATTATATGGCATTGTGTCTGGTTTGTTCGTTTTCTGTTTCTGAAGCGGAATCTATGGTTGTCTCGTGTCCTTTGATTGTTTTGAATGTATTACATGATGTTCATTAAAAGCGTAGCTATTGCTATGGACAAGATTTGATGGCCCAAATGGCGTATAATTTGCGACGAATATTTAGCGACGAATTTTGCGACCAATACAGTTTGTGGCTAATTTGCGATGAATTTTGCGACGAATAAGTAGCGACCAATTTTGCGACCAATTTTTCGACGAATTTTGCGACGAATAAATTTTGCGACGAATAAAGTTCGTGGCTAATTTGCGACGAATTTTCTGACGAATAAAGTTCGTTGCTAATTTGCGATGAATTTTGCGACGGATAAAGTTCGTGGCTAATTTGCGACGAATAAAGTTTGTGGCTAATTTGTGACGAAATTTGTGACGAATTTTGCGACGAAATTTCCGACGAATTTTGCGACGAATAAAGTTCGTGGCTAATTTGCGACGAATTTTGCGACGGATAAAGTTCGTGGCTAATTTGCGACTTATAAAGTTCGTGGCTAATTTGCGACGAATTTTTTTCCGTCGCAAAATTTTTCGACGCCAAATTAGCGACAGAATTTTTTCCGTCGCTAATTTCGTCGCAAATTCGATTAGCGACGGATTTTGCCAAATTTTTCGTCGCAAAATTCGTCACTAATCCCTTGTTTTTTTGTAGTGTCAGCAATTGACCATCATTTACAATTAACATCTGCATCTCAAAGGTAAGTACCTCCGTACTCGGTTCTAAGAAAAACATAGGCCGAGAATATTAATTTGAATGGCCACATTCATTTTACATATTCGTTGACAATCACAATAACAATTTTTTTGTTAATATTTGATGCTTCAACATGAATACCAACATATTTCTTAATATTTGAAAAAATAATAACAAAATGGAGCTCGTAACTAGGGTTCCTATCAAAATCTATAATATTATAATATCCCTTCTCCTGCTCAAAACAAAGATGATAAATTGGAGGATATAATCATGTGGCATTATGGGATCTTAATTCAACTCATATAGATGAATTTGGTAATCTCAACAGCTCTGACTCTAGCAGAGTTAAAGACTCATTCAAGAATGAGAAATTCCACATATTATTGATCATTATGTAAAGCATAAGCACATTTTTATTCTAATTTCAATAGCTCTGAAATTTCAAGGAGTATGTTTATCCTTTCAAGGAATACAAAAAATGAATAAATGAAAAATATTTTCATTGTTCGCGAAATTATTTAGACATAAATTGTTATCGATAATGAAAATATTTTCCATAGACTAATTGTTTTAAGCGATTATTTTTAGGAAATTGTTTTCCAAATCATTTATTTTTTGTGAAACAAATAGAGACAAAGGCAACCGATTTTACCGATGACTTCTCAAGTTTCACGTGCGTTGAAGTCCTATTTTGCCAACTACGTGCATGAGGTTTTGCCAACTCAGCTTGTTAGGTTAATGAGAGATCAATTAGACGTAATCTCTATTAATGTAACTAATTCCATAACTTTACTAGTCGTTTACCAGCTCCTTCTTGTGCGGGGAACTAAAGGATATTGCTTCATTGTATTGTATATTAGGGAGTCGATAAACCTGAGTATGGAAGTAGACTGCATCGATCAATCTGTAGTCTATAGCATAAAACAAAGTAGAGAGACGCGATTGAGAAGACAATATAGAAGATGTCAAACGGTTGAGGAGGATTAAAGGTCGGTTTGTTTCGTGAGAAATTAACGGTCTAGAAAACATTTTCTTAATAATGATATCTTTTTCTTTCAATAGGAATCTATCGAGTCGTGGAAAACACTAGAATCATGCTTGCCATGCGGTCGAAGAAAGTCCTTGTTTCATATGGAAATGTATTATTAATTTCGAGGCGAATATGGACTCTTGGTTGATACATAACATAAGTGCATTGATAGTTAAAGATGGGGTGCAACTTACAACATTGAACGGTCACTCCCCATCGCATCACGATCCAAAACATACACCGAAAAGGTTTTGGAATAACATCGAAAAGACATGATTAACAACATATCGTAAGTGGAAATAGGGATAGATGGAAGAGGCAGGCAGGCAGGCGAGGCTGGATCCAACGCGAAGCCCTAAGCGGACAAGCCCACGCTGCGGAGGACGACGGTCTCGACGGTGACGCCAGGACCAAATCCGAAGAGCACCCCCCATTCGAGCCCGTCTCCGGTGGTCTTGAGCCCTTCCTTAACCGATTTCTTCCTCATCTCGTCCAATACGAAGAAGACGCACGCGCTAGACATGTTGCCATACTCACCGAGCACGTACCTCGACCGGTCCATCTTCTCGGGCTTGAGCTTCAACTTGGCCTCGACTTCGTTGAGGATCGCGGGCCCGCCGGGGTGCGCGACGTAGAAGAGCGAGTTCCAGTCCGTGATGCCCAGAGGGTGGAATGCGTCCGTCATGCACTTCTCAACGTTCTTAGAGATAAAGGTCGGAACGTCCTTTAGGAGGTTGATGGTGAGCCCGATCTGGCGGACGTGTCCGCTGATGGCGCCCTCGCTGTTGGGGATGAGGGTCTGGGACGCGGAGATAATCTCGTACAGGGGCCTCTCGATTTCCGGGACGGGGTCTGAGCCCACGATGAGCGCGGAGGCGCCGTCGCCGAACAGGGCGTGGCCCAGGAGGTTGTCCATGAAGGCCTCGTTGGGCCCGTGGAAGGCGGCCATGGTGATCTCGGCGCACACGACGAGGACGCGAGCCCCCTTGTTGTTCTCGGCGAGGTCCTTGGCGAGGCGGACGACCATGCCGCCACCGTAGCAACCCACCTGGTACATCATGAACCGCTTGACGGTTGGGCGGAGGCCCAAGAGCTTGGTGAGCTGGTAGTCGCAGCCCGGCATGTCGTTGCCGCCGTAGGTGCAGAACACCAGGTGGGTGATCTCGGACTTGGGCTGCCCCCATTCCTTGATGGCCTTGGCTGCTGCTTCTTTCCCTAGCTTCGGCACTTCCACCGCCAAAATGTCTTGCCTTACATCCAAGGAGGGTTCCGTGGACGAACACATGTTCGAGTGCTCTTTCACCATCTCCTCCGTCAAGTGCAGGTACCTCTTCTTGATCTTGGACCCTTCACCTAAACATATACACCGAACACAGATCGACGTCATGGTGGTCTTCTTCTTTATGGACCGATCAAATTATTCATACACGACGGTGAAAGACGCAATCCCCACAAGTTATTACTGGAAAAGAAAGAAAAAACCGATCCCGGCATCAAAAAAGTTCCATCAAAACAATGGTTGATTTGCTTCGACTTTCGTTCCCTAATTTCGTATCTAAGCATGTATGTATCCACTAATCTCTAGTCCCTGCTATCTACGGTGTTAGTAAGTGCCATGCACAAAAAGGTGAAGCCGCCCAAATTCTTATATGATGGTAAATGACGAGGGCACCACAAAAAAAAAAATTTGTTTAAAAGTGCATCAATGTAGGTATGCTTTAAACTATACGTACACATGCGCTTGAACTTGCTTTTCAGCTGTGTCATGTGTTCGGACTTGGTGATTCGAAAAAAATAATCTGGGAACGTGCTCTGCTCGTAAACGTTTGGGGGGTTCGCCGTTCCGATGGCCAGGATCGTGGCAGGGCCTTGTGATTTCTGGGCACGGCAGAATTCCTCGACGCTCACCATTTTTCTTTTCTTCCCAGGGAGGGGGGTGGTTTCGAGAGAGCGAGAGACGGCGAGGGTCGGTGGAGCGGTCACGACGGAGGAGGCGGTGGTGGACCGGGTTGCTGCAAGTGATTCTCTTTGGGCGTGTGGTGGCACAGGTGAACTTTGGGAGAGGGGTGGGATTTATATTCAAGAGAGGCTGAGGGGTGGTGGTTGGGCTTCACGTGCGTGTCTCGTGATATGACTTCGGGACCTTATTGTCACGTGACACGCGCGTGCTCGTAATCACTTGTCCATCACAAATGCCATTTTAATCTGATTCTGTGAACATAAAGTTCATAACGATACACTACTCATTGTCAGCTCCATGCACAAGAGTGAAATCGAGTCAAATTACTCAGCGACAGCTCCGGCTCGGCCCGATGTCTACTAGAGATCGACTCACTTGATTTCGAGTTGAGATCGAGTTCGAGCCACTCGAGTATCTTGTATAGGTGAGCACGAGCTTGTTGACATTCAACTAGGTAGGCCCACGACCCTAATCGAGTTTTCACTATTTTATTGAAATTTTAAATTATTATAAAAAAAGGGGCAAGATACTTGAAATTACATTCGAGCTTATAAAACTTTATAAGTTGATTCCAATTAAATTCAATCGGGTCGAGTTCGAGCACCTGGATTCTCTAATTGAATCAAGCTCGAGTAGGATAATTAATACTCAATCGAGCTCGAATCTAGCTTCGAGCACCAAGTATGTGAGTTGAGTTGAGTCGAGCTCGAATTTGGTAGTGCATCAACCCGAATCAGCTCGATTATACACCTATACACATGATTCGGCTGTGATAAGAATCGTGCTATCACCTGTCTTTGACTTTTTTCCCTCTATTGATATACTTAATAGGTATGTCCGAGGTTAGATGATACTCTTGGTCTTGCTAAGATATTAAACTCACGGCGCACGTTATATTATGATAGTTTAAGCTCTTAGTTTTAGCTGCTGCGCGTGCAACTTCAAGTTGGTTGGTATCAGAGCCTAGGGTGTAGAAAAGTATGGACACTCCCGGCTAGTAGAGGTCGGCGAGGGAAGCCCAATGAGGATCTAGGGAGGTATCACCTGACTTAAGCTAGGGCAGTTTCCTAGTCATTAGGAAGAGGAAAAAGCATCATGAACAGGAACTTCCACCTTTGCTCATTATTTTAGAGAACGACTTGCATAGATCACTTCAAATTGAGTGTAGATGGTTACGTGCAGATGCTAAATCTATGAGCAGGCTGGTAATGTTTGTCGTGACCCGAAATTTGGACTAAACACCAAGGGAATGTGTGTTTTGACTTGCATTTTCAGTTGATTAAGACAAATTAGGAGTTTATCTTTAAGTCCATTAGCATGCATGATACATGAATATGGAGTTGGTTCATACAAGTCCCCAAGATGGATTTGGTAAATGAAGGTCTATATGCCGCACCCCTTTGTGCCGGTATCTTCCAATTATCTTGACAACAACAGATGTCGACAACATAAACTAATATCAGATGTTTCTATAAATAAAATTGGTTAAGTCTGTTATTTCGATTAATTTATCAAAAGCCATTTAGATGATATCGGGTGCTTACCTTGATAGTCTCTCGGAGTTCAGGTCCGGCGATGCAAGACACGATTCATTTGCATAATGAGAAGTAAAATACAAACTAGGGAGGGAAAACTCGAATATGGCGCGACGATGGGAAGAGAGTTGGCTGGTACTTTCGGGCTAGGACTTATGGTGTGATAATGGTAAGGCCGGTAACTACCAACCTAATTAAGCTATTGGAGAGAGTTGGTCCCGGAGGAGAGGGGTCCAAAATCTCTTGATTTGACTTCTGCCAATCTACTCACCACTGAGCAGACTCTCCTTCCCTATTCTACACGAGTTGGTGAAACAAAAAGATGGAAATGTTGCAGACCACCATTTTGCATTATGATTAAAGTCGAGCTTCTCAAACATTAGTTCAGAAACCCCCCAAAAAAATGAAGTGCAAAGGAGCATATTTGAAATTGAAACATAGATTGAAATTATGGAATGCTATATTGATGCAGTAATGTAATCTTAATGACGTCGGTGTGGATACAATGCCCTCAACCAGAACACTGATGATTTGTGCTAAAATTGCAACGAGCTCATCTATAGCCGTACAATTCACGGTCACATAGCCGTTGCCTTTCTCAAGTTCTGGTTGAACTTTCCTCGGATGTCTCATGTATGTACAATCACTGCCAATTCAGCCAATTTGGTTGAGCAAGTCTAGCTTAAGGTTGATTAGATCTAGCAAGCAACTGATTATCGCTAGGTGACTCGTGAACTTTCCATTCTATTAGCATCCTATCTAACTTTCCACAACTAAATAATATTGTGACACAACTTTGTGGAAATCTCTATTTTGATTGGATTGATTTGCCCTTGAAACTCATGCATATTCTTCATGAATACTCTTGAAAATTATAAAGATAAAAATGCCCTTATACCAAATCGAGTGAACAGTTAAAAGAAGTCTACAGTTACTTCTTAGGTCGCGCTAAATCCACCCATATTTTGGCTGCATACATACTCTATGAAATGAAAATGAAAATGTATCCGAATTATAAGTCCCACCGTCTCATTTCTTTATTTAACACATTTTACATGCATAGACCCTGCATTTCTCTCTCCTCGCGACTTGGAGATGGTTGTTTTTGGGCTGCTTTCCCATCTCTACCCCTACAGCGTCAAGTTTCAAGCTCGCACCATCGTGATTAGGGATGATCGGTTCCTGGGTGGATTGGTTCCCACCTAGGAACCTAGAACTGAATCAGGCAAGGTTGATTCCTAGTTTGTCGAACCGGGAATCTGCCCACCCGGTCCTAGAATTGGATCGGACCGTACCGACTGGTCTCGTCCAGTTTCAGGGTTGGTCTCGGAACCAGTGATTTCTTATCTTCTTTTTTTTATCATTTCTTCTATTCCCAATAAGTGGAAGTTTCCAACAATAAAAGAAAAACAATTTACTAATTAAAGTTTGCTTCAGAATAAAAAATATAAAAAAAATTAAGAAATATTAGCCGTCCGGGCGGTCCGGTCCCTTATGTGGAATCGGGAACCGGACCGATCCCCTTCGGAAATCACCCAGAATCAGGCGGTTCGGTCCGGTTTCCGAATGGACCGGACCGATGCACATCCCTAACCGTGATTGCTGGGATCAAGGTCAATAGATGTAGTCACCTAAATCGAGCTTGATCCGAGTTGGTGAGTGCTCGGCAATACCGTCCATCCATAAGCATGGGGAGGTGCGAGCAGAAAGAAAGACGGATAGAGAGGGTATATTTCTCATTCTAACTTCTTAAGGTGTGTATGGAGCCAAAGTTTGGGTGGATTTAGCTACAACCCTTACTTTTCCCGTTTCTACCGTTTTTTATTGTTCGCTTTTTGCTTATTTAAACAATATATGTCTGTCTGAATACTTCTATCAGAAGTTATTCTTTAAAAAGCATAAAGAAGCCCGTGTTTTTCAATTTCACTCTAATTTAAACATAAATTATTCAAGTATATATCAAAATCTATTGTATTTCTTTTTTATCGAATTTACCTGAAAATAAAGGGAATATCTTTACTAATGGCCGTTTATCACTTAAATTAAATAAGCTATTCTTTAAACTATAAAGAACGTGTTATGAATAATATTTATTTTGTCTTTTCCATTTTTCCATGTAAATTAATTAGATAAGTGTTGACACCTAATTTTTGCTTATCCGTTTTAGGTTAATCACATAAACTAAGGGGGGGTAAATTTTGACGCCTAAACATGAATAATTTTCATTTAATCACATGGCATATAGACATTAGATGCATTGACATTAATGGGGTCTGTTAGACATATTTTTCTTATTAAAAAGAATCAGTAAAAAAAAAAGAGAAACGTAAAAGACAAAAGGAGAGCTCTTCCCTGGGCTGATACGAGAGTATTTCTTCTCTCTCTCTCTCAAATCCACGTTTTCACAAAAGCAGCAAAGATAAGAAAGGACAAAAGAAGCATCATCACAAAATTAGAGAGAGGGAGGGATGTCCATTGCAGAAAGGTCAAAATAAACACAAAAAGGGGCTCTCTCACACTTTCTTTCTCTTGTTGCCTTCGTACATGCACTCATAAAAAGGAAAATGGAGTCTGCATAGAGAGGGAGAGAGAGAGAGAGAGAGAGAGAGAGAGAGGGGGAAGGCCATCTTTTTCAGAGAGGAGAGCTTTGAAGAGCTCCGGGGAGAACAGGTGGGAAGGGGGAGCCGAAACCGAGAGAAAATCGAGAGAGAGAGAGAGTGAGCTCGAGAGAGATCCAGAGAAGGGACTCCGAAAAGGAAGAACCTTCCTTGCAAACCCCTCATCCTTCATCTCCTCCGAACAACCACCACCACCGTCGCCGTTCGGCGTCCTCTAGCCGGCAGCACTCACCCTTCTCGTGTCTTATCACTCCTAGATCCTGACATTCCTGAAGACGAGGATCCGAACGAGAAAGGGGGAAAAAAACGCTCGACCGAGAGAACCATAAAAGAAAGATTTTTCCTCTTTGACCGGTTGTCCGTCTTAGTTGCCGCCGGCTCCTGTCGAGCCTCAAGCCGCCGCGCTTCATCACGGTCAGCCCCGAACCAGGTAGGCCCCGGTCTAATTTTGCTGCCTCCCTCCCCCCCTGCCTCTCGGGTGCCGGGCACACTGAACTTATTCGGTGGCCGCCCGGCCCCGTCAATGGAGGCTTACATTTGCTTCGCACTCAAACTAGTCTTTTTAAACGTCGTACGTTAAGAAGGCCATGAATCTCGTTAAAATCAGTCCTGTAGCTCCATTCCCCGACCCGCCTACCACCTGTTCGGCAAAATGTCGAAATGAAACTCCGAATCTGTTTTTGCAAAACCGGCACTCTAAAACTTCGCTATACGCATGGTTTGCTCCAATATTGTCACTGACTTCAAGTTTTCTCTGTCTTTCATGTGGTTTTTTCGTGATTCGCACATCGTCCGAGTCGGCCGCGCGTACACATTCCCTCGCCGGAAGCTCTATTCCCCTTGCCGGGTGATGCCCGCGGCAACCCGGGCATTCATGCCTGTTTGTCCATACCTAGCGTCTGTTGTTGAGGTCGAAAGTTTGATGGTCAGGAAACGAAAGTGTGTCACCAATGTTAGCGATTTAGTGGCCGATGGTGCTGGTTTAGGGACTTTGGTTCGGTGATGGTGGGGTTGCGATTTCGGTCCGAGCAGATTCGTCATCGAC